CTTCACTGAGTTACGCAAGCCCCTTCGCCACGACAAGGCAGTGATCCATGAAGGGGAGGATCTTAGATTATGGCAGGTAATAATTATAACCAGATTTACCAATTTTTCTGCAGTACTTACTCTTGTGGCCCAATGGTGAAAAATAAGGGATTGGTAACTGGTCTCAAGCGCCTTCTGTTTCTGACAGACAGATCTGTCTTTCAGAACACAGCAAACTCAAAACGTTCTGATGGAACATTTCAAGTGGAGCTGTTTTGTTTCAAGGTCAAAACAAAACATGTTTTCTATTTTGTGCACACCTCTACTATGTATACATCCCTGCCTGAAACCTCTGCTCTCCTAGGTCCCTTGCCAATAAGTGGGAAACAAGTTCCTGATTGTTTTATCATATCACTTTACCTTTTCAATGGATTCCAGTGTTTCGGTGTATTTCTCTTCAGTCTGTTTTATTTCAGAAAGACAGCAGGTTCTTATGTCATTCTCAGGACTTTTCTGCCAAATCAATAAGAGTTTACTTGAATATGAGCGCACTTCTGGGTATTTTTTGGTTGGACCATATTTCTCTGCCAACTGTCAGTGATAGTCAGCATCCTAATCTATTTTGTTGTAGACGTGAATTCAGCAACATGCTGTCTACAGGCACATCTGCATTGCCCCACCCCTTGCCAATTTAAAGAACAATCTTAAGAGAATCTCTCCCAGGATTTCTGGAAACACAATAAACAATCTCTGGCTTCCAGCTCCCATCATATCCCATGTGGACTCTTTGAGATGATGAGAAAAGAAGGCAGCTGCTGATCTCAACCAAGTCTTCACTGTGCAGGATATCAATCAATCAAAGACATGGTAGAAGGAAGAGAGAAAGAAAGCACAGTTTCTGCCAAGTGGAAAGTGGGAAAAGGTGTCAAGGAAAGCCATGAGAAGGGACAGAGAGAATGCAGGCAAAAACAGGCAGAAAGAACCAACATTGTTTTATTCTCTGTGCTTCACTTTTTAAAAATCTTAAAAGAGAACAGTACATATGGGTTACCGCTACTTCAAAATACTGTAAGTTATACTGTTTTTGTTATAGGGCAGTTAAGACATTTCAAACACTCAGTTAATTGACTGAGTAATGGAGCAGAACTATGACAGGTCAAAACATTTCTGTGAAAAGAACCAAAAAGAATTCACTAGGTAGACGACAGTGGAAGCTTATTAGGAAGAAAACTGGAACCAAGTTCCCAATGACTTCAATATGATTAATATGTTCTTAATACTCCATCCAAGATCAGTGGGACTGAAATGTGTTTAATTTTGGACTATGGTCTAAATATACTACCGCACTATTTCTTTTGTGCCTTGCTCAATCTTTTTATATCTTACAAGTTGATGTGCTGCTTCAGCTTTCATGAGGTCTTCATACACTTCACCACCTTCATCTTCCCCATAAACACAATCATAAAGGTCTTCATCTTCATCCACCCTCGTTTCACTAGAAATACAATGCAAAAAGAGAAAATTAAGAATGTACAATAGGACCTATTTTAAACATCTGGATGGTTATCAGAAAATACTGTATAGTTTCCCCTCTAGACTCCTCTCCTTTTCTGTCACTGCCAGGAGGCAGAGATTGGAAACAACTGAGATCATCCAAATGCTAAACTATGGTTAATCTTAACTGTGGTCAGTGAATACAAGAAATCTATGGTAATTATAATTAATATTAATGCATTTTCTCTAGGTTAAAAGAAGACAACAAGCTAGGATAGAACAGAAATTTTAATTTCTTATCTCATCAATACCACAAATGTAGGAGACAGAGCTCAGTAAAAGGCTATACTCATTTTTGTAACACTAAATCAGGATAGAAGAACTCTTCACCGGCCAGGAGAAAGTTTATTTTTTTATTGGGGGTCTGAGAGTTGATGCATTATGAATCATCCTTGTAGATAAAGCCATATTTTAAGAACATTTGAGGGTTCAAAGATGCTGATTTTTTTTTTTTTTTAATTTTACTGTTCTATGGATATACAGCCTTTCCAGTAGCTTACAGGTAGTCCTCGCTTAACAACAGTAATTGTGATTGGAATTTCCGTTGTTAAGCGATGGTCGTAAAGCGCGATGTCACATGACCGCATTGCTTAGCGACAGCAATCCTGACAGTCCCTGTTGCCATCATTAAGCAAAAATTGCAGGTTATTAAGCAACAGCCTTGCATGACTGCAACTTGCAACCTCCTGCTGGCTTCTCACAAGCAAAGTCAATGGGGAAACTGGCTGGAAGTTGCAAATCCTGGGTGGCTTGCAAGCAGGCAGGAGGCAGGTGAGTACTACAGACTGAGGTGAGGGAGTGCTGCGGCAAGTGCATGCAGGCTGTGGAGGGATTGCTGCAACGCCGTGCAAGTGCATGCAGGCTGGGGATGATCATTTTCCAGGTCATTCTTTTGGTTTATCATTTGTATTTCTCTTTTAATGTGCTCTGGACATTTAATGATGTCAGTTAATACTTACAAAATGATACAGAATGTTATAATCTCAGAAATATTAAAGGAGATCTTTGAAGAATGGAGCCAGAAGTTAGTAACTATAATGTCAACTCTGTCAGTAATAATGTCTACTTCTAAGGACAGACTATGTCTAAAAGATGTTAATGAAAGAATGACAGATGTGGAACAAATTTTATCTGACAAGATAGAGAAAGTACACAATAGACACTACAAATGACAACTCAAAGAAATGATTTAGAAAAGGATGTTTTACTAGATACACAAAAGAAACTGGCTGAAGTTTAAAAAATTAAAGAGAAATACAAATGATAAACCAAAAGAATGACCTGGAAAATGTTTTCTTATTGGAATTACAAAAGAGGCTTATTAAAGCCTTGAAGAAATCTGTGCCATGTAATAAAGAAGAATTGAACAGAAATCAAATCTTATGACAATATTTGATTGAATTAAAGATTAAGACTGTTAGATGTAAGAGAAAGGAATATAAGGCTTATTTGATCAAGATTAAAACAAGACATTTTTTTTGCAATGTTCTGGCAACCCTTTATGGACTTTTTGCTGACACCAGGATTGAAAAGTTGATGTTTTATGGATTTCTTATAGATAAGGTATGGGATACAGGATATGGGATGAAAAGATACCTGTTTAACCTTATAGGGGATGAAGAGTTATTAAATTTGTTTATACTTGTTGTGATGTAGGTTGGAAGTTACTTCTTTATCTATTTCTTTTCTTTTTTCTTTATTTTTCTTTTTTTCTGGCACTTTTTATTCTTTCTTTCCATTATCTTCTCTTTCTTTAAGTTTAGTTTGTATTAGTTTTTAATACTGTAATTAAAATTCTTAACAAAGTCTGTTGTTCTTCATAGGACCTGCAAAAAGTTAACACCATGCAAACTAGAATACAAAATTAACACAATATAACCTACTCTATTAAATCTGGAAGGCCTTTGTATATGTCTTCATCATTCACACTCTCTTCTGTAGGAAACGGCCTATGGAGACAAAAAACAAAGAAACAAAGGTTTAAAATGATCATAAAGAACAACCTGATTTAATCATATTATTGTTCTATTCTATGTTTCTTTATTGCTGCTTTTGTGAGCCACCTAGGGTTATTGTACATAAGATGGGTGGCCATATAAGTCCATATAAATAAGTCCATATAAGGCCATATAAGGCCATATAAGGCCATATAAATAAATAAATATGATCATACAATGGCTCTGCTGCTGTGCTTGGGGGGGTGGCAATGGTGGGGATCTTTTGAGCTGATGTAAGGATAGATCATGAATTTTTTTTATTTTAAATTTATTATTGATGCTTTTTATAAGTTTCTGTGTTGGTTTTTTAACTTGTTTTATGGGATTGTTGTTGTTTTTATCTGTTGTGAGCCACCCAGAGTCACTTAGATGAGATGGGCGGCCATACAAATTGAGTTAATAATCATAATAATGACAGTCTACCCCCACCCTCACAAATTATCTTATGTTAAAGAAAGACAGCAAGGTATCATTTTCTGTACTTACATAAATATTAACAGTTTAAAACAGAATGCAAGATACCTCTCCTGAATGCAACTATACTCACAGATAGATTATTCGCTTTCGAGGACAGTTCTTAACTTGTTCAGAGAGATTTTACCGTAAACTACATGCATTCTAAGTTGTTTCTATGTATATAGGTAGTCTGTGTGTGAACATGTGTATATATACATATACCACACATAAACAATACACTGTGGTGTCCTTGAGCAAGTATTTCATTTTTCATTTCATCTGTATATTGTACATTAATGTAATTAATTTAAATCAGATCACTCAATTCTACAATTCAGCTGCTTAAAAAAATAGGACTAATTACTTTGAGGCAAAAATGAATTGCAGTTCATTTACTAAATAAATATTTATGTTATAGACAAAAATCAAAGTTAAAAAAAAATCCAACTATATTATACCTTATTCCGGCGCCTAATGCAATAGGGGTACGAGAAAGTTTGGATAAAGTTTCTATAACCTGCAAAGGAGATAGAAAATATTGGTTTAGTCACAAGAAAAAAACCATCTTTCAAATACCATTTAAACAGGATCCATTAGCTAAGATATAAAAAAAAAAGGTACATGCCATTTCCGTTTAATACATTTTTAGATGTAACACTGATTTTAAATAGACCTAGCACAAACATATTTAAAAAGAAACTATACTATTCTTAAAATTGTACTATTCTTAAAATGAAATTGTACTACTCATAAATATTTTGTATCATTTGTTATAATCCAGAATAAAATTACCTACTTTAGTTAATAATTGATATTTATCATTAATTTCATAATTTAATTTGATAATTAAATTAATTTAATAATTTTTAATATTTGAACATTTCATAATCATAAAATAAAATGATCTACCAGTACTTTACTTTTATATTTATTAAAATATGAAATGATTAAAATATGATATGGCTATTCTTAAAGTAGTCCAAAATGCACAGGCTACTATAACAACTTACAGGTAGTCCTTGAGTTATGACCATTCATTCAGCAACCATTCAAAGTTATGACAGTGCTGAAAAAGGAGACTTAAAACCGGTCCTTAAAGCTGCAGTCATCCCAGCATTCCTGCGGTCATGTGATCATAATCTGGGTCCTTGGCAACCCATTCGCACTTATGACTGGTTCCAAGTGCCCGGAGATCACATGATCGCCATTTGCAACCTTCCATGCCAGCTTCCCCCAAGCAAAGTCAATGGAAAGCCAGCAAGGAAGGCTGCAAGTCACTGGGGTAAGTCTCCCCACCCCCTGGCCTTTCTTTGCTCACACACTCTGCACCCTTCTTCCCCCTTCCGCTCACACACACACCGGGCCCTCTTTCTTTGGCCTTCCTGCACTTGCATGTATCCTGCACCCTCTTTCCATGGCCTTCCTGCAATTGCACCCACCCTGCGCCCTCTTTCCTTGGCCTCCCTCTGCTCTCACACACGCACCTTTGTGCCTCCTTTCCACAGCCTCCCTGCACTCACACAAGCAGGCATGTACCCTGCACCCTCTTCCCATGGCCTCCCCACAATCACATACATGCACATACCCCACACCCTTTTTCCTCAGCCTCACTATGATCGCATCCACCCCACACCCTCATTCCCTGGCCTTTCTGAACTCATGCCACACCGAGCACCCATTCCCCCGACTCACCCGTGGCCTGTGCCAGGCCTCCCAGGGCCTCCCCCAGCCACCTGTGGCACCCCCACACTCTTTATTTGGGACTTCCTCCACTTTATGCTTAACAACCCACACGTTATGGGTTATGATGACAACCAGCACTGCCTGGATTGTCATTGCTAAGTGATGCAGCCATGTGACATTATGCTTTATGATAGCATCATTTAGTGATGGCAAACACAGTTCCAACTGTAGTCGTAACTTGAGAACTACCTGTATTTGAGAATAAGCCAGACTTAATTTAATGGGATATGACAGCTGTATAGTTACATCATTAAATGTATCCGAAGGAGGATGACTTCCCTGGATGCCAACGTCTTAGATACCTCCCTTTGGTGCCTATCCAGTTCTTTTTAATTAAAAAACCTAACATTACTCATATTATTATTGCTTAAAAATAATAAAATAATCAAATACTACTTTGATAAAAAGTATTAAATAGAAACAGCAGGTTGCAAACCAAAGCAAAGCAAAGACCAGCCTCCAGCATTCTGTACGCAATGACAGAGAAGATCCTGGGGAGCCAGTTTGGTAGATGGGCATTTTGCATTTGGCAGCCATTTTGGGGTAGCACTCATAAAATGTTCTCTAAATTCCAAATAAGTTCTTGGTACAATCAATCATTCATGTTAGTGAAGTAATATTAAAGTACTTATAGTCAGAGCAGCTGTTAATTTGACACAAATGACTTCTTTGAATTATTATTCAACAGGCAAATAGATTATTCAATATGTAGATTTTTTGTATAAAAGGAATTAACATCAAATGCATCCTAAATGCTGCTGTATAATTAGTAGGTTATTGTATTTTATTATCAAATAACAAAAGGGGGTTGTCATTACAAGGCAGGGAGCAGAGGAAGGAAAAAAATGAGTTAATACTAACTGAATTACCAATTACTGATTAAATTAATTGCCTCTAAACAAAGCCACCTCATTAATAAAATAAATAAATGCAGAGGCAGAATTAATTTATTACATTTCTATACTCCCATAATCAAATGTGACTCTCACAATATTTCAACCATTTTCTCTCAAACATGCAAACCACCACAGAAACACACAAGTACACATACACAAACACACACACACATACACACACTTTATTGCTTAAATAGCAAAAACAGAAGAAAAACAGAGTGGGATGGGGAAGGGGTAGCCAATCTGGATAAAGAAGGAAACAGAACAAGGGAGCAAACTGGATGGAGATGAGGCAAAATAAAGAGTAGCTAAACAAGGGTGGAATGAAAAGATAAACATTCATTATTAAGCTTTACAAAAAAGATTAAAATGTGTTAGATAAGCAACCCCACTCAATTGCAAGCTAACCCTCAAAGTTATTTGTGCCTCCCACCTATTAAGTTATTTTCAAAAGTATCATTCTTCCCAGTAAATGGAAGACAATCCCTCTCCATTTCCCAGGTAATTATTTGGAGGAAAAAATCAAATACTGTATGGAACTTCCCTGCATGGCTCAGTGGGATGCTGTTTCATAATCAAATATTCAGGATCCCTGCAACACATGGGCTAGTTTCTTCACTCTTCAGGGCTAAACTTTGATTACTACTGGCACTGGAAAATTGTGTCCCGCTTATGAATACTGACAATAGCTTCAACTGGGGCAAAATATGGTGGCAAGGCAATTATACGTGCCCCTAGAAGGGTACACATTACACCTCTGCTCCATGAGCTACACTGGCTGCCAGTTTGCTTCCGGGTCCAATTCAAGGGGCTGGTTTTGACCTTTAAAGCCCTACATGGCATGGGGCCGGGCTATCCGAGGGACCGTCTCTCCCCGATTCCATCCACCCATTCCATCAAGTCCAGCAGGAGAGGCACGTTACAGCTCCCGTCTGCTAAGGAGTTCCACCTGACAGGACCCAGGATACGAGCCTTTTCTGCCATGGCACCCGCCCTTTGGAACATCAACCCCCCTGGGAAGAGATTAGCCCCAACTCTACTGACCTTCCAGAAATCTCTCAAAACATTTTCCCCCCAGCGGGTCTGGGGATCCCTTGGTAGCATGGAGCCCGCAAGTTGGTTGTATTATGCATAAAACTCTGACACGTTCTCCCATAATCTTGCTTGTAGTTATGTCTAATTGTTTTTCATGGTTATTTAAGATTGTTTTAATTGATGGTTTTATTGTATACTGCCCAGTTACATTCGTGAGATGGGTGGCTATATAAATTTGATAAGTAAATGAAACATGAGATCACTAATTTGGGTGAACACGAGCTGTAGTGGAGAAACAGAATTTTTATTCTATCCATACACACGCACTGCTGTCAGACACCGGCTATCTACCCATGTCCTAATTTTGGGGGAAAAAAATGGCTTCATAATGGCAAATGTATAGGGACATAACAAGATCACAAAGGATCTATTAATAGTGTAGCAAATTTAAAAAGGAGCAAGGAAAGAAGAATATTACAACATCAAGTCCATCTGTCTGATTTGCAGGAGATGAAATCTCTAAGTTCAAGTCGCATAAACTCACTAGCCAGATTTTGGTCAGTATCTCTAAGCCTAAAATCTTATTCAATAAGGTACAGATGGTAATAATGACCTAACATACAAGGTTATTCTTGCAATTTGTATCACAATGTACATGTTCCTGAAATATTTTAGTGCACTCTCAAAGTGTGGTTATCTTTCAATGTATTTGTTCAAAAACACACAAGGTTAATATTAGCAGCTAAATAGATACGGCAGCCTTCACATCTTTTCCACTGCTTTCATTCTTTCTTTTGCACATAAGAGATTGTTTGTTTATAGTCAGAAACGAAAAGCACATGTCAGGCATTTGTCTTATTTGACTCATCACATTTCTTTGTAAGCATTCAATAAACTTTTGGTAAGTAAAATTTGCAAACAAAAGGGGAGAAAGCAAACTAGACAACAGAAAACATTATCACCTATAATACTATACCAGTGTTGTCCAAACTTGGGCACTTTAAGATGAGTGGACTTCAACTCCCAGAATTCCCCAGCCAGCATGGGGAA